GTTCAACAGATCACGGCTTCGCTCTGGCCACCACGCTCCATGAAGTACTCCAAGAACATCGTGGCCCTGAAGCGGCACTTCGCCGACAAGATGGTCAGCAGCCACGCGCGCTGCCCGCCGTCGCAGCGACGAGACTTGAGCTCCGGCAGGACCACTCACTACTGCCGCGTGTGGTCTGGCTCTGCGAATTCCTGAACTCGGGCCAACTACGGGCCCTGAGCTGGGAAGTCACCCGCGATGTGATCGCGGATGGACTGACCAAGGGCAGTATAGATAGATCTGCCCTCCACGACGTGGCTGGCGGCTTTCGCCAGCCGCCACATGCGCCGAGCGCAGTCACCCTCGCGCCGGCCGGAAAGCTCACTGTGCCATCAGGGCACGAGTGCCAGCCCACTTCCGACATTTGACATGGTATCCTGCACGCAGGAAGTGCGCGTGCTCCATTATCCTCGGAACCATCGGCCTTTCCTCATCCCACATGTCGGAAGGATTGTCACGGGGCACAGGGTGGTTGAGAAGTTTGTTGTAGCGCGGCAGCTCGGGAGAACATGCTACGTCGCCGCGATTGGACTTCGCTGCGACATGAGTGTAGGCGAGCGTGTGCACGGGCATAGTGGACGCAGAAGTAGCAGGAAGGACTAGGGAGACGCATTCACGATGCCGCTGCCATGTTTGTCATCAGCAGTTTTGCGCGCTGCCCGCTGCCCGGCCGAAGCGCGGCGGCCCGCCGGCCGTGGCTCGCGCGCTGGCGGCTGCCCGCGGCCGCGCGCGCCACCATGCCCCAGAGGAGGCCGCCGGGGCCCCCCAGGCCCGCCGCCGCCTCGCCGCTCGCGTCTCTCGCCTTCCCTGTCATCCACGAAGTGGCGTTGTCAGAAGATGTGACATTCGCGACGACCATAGGTCGAGCCGTGCGCGGCCTCGATCTCCGGCGCCCCCTCCAGGTATTTGGGCGAGCCCAACGGGACAGCTGGAGAGGATCCGCCCTCCCGGCGCGTCTCCGATGACGCCCCGCCTTCGCGAAACGGGGCGCGCGGCGCAGCCGTCCAACGAGACAATGCGCGCGATTTCAACGTCATCCGCCTCGCACGGCCGCGCTCAGGCTCAAGGGCTGCCCCGTTTCCGCTCGCGCCCGCTATCTCCGCGCAGATGCCGCGCGGCAGCTGTTTCTCGCTTCGCTCTCAGTCGACGCAGGTCGATGCCGGTAGGGCCCCCGCACTTGCGCCGAGCCCGCCGACCGCGCCACCTCCTCCAGAGGTGCTGGCGCTCTCGGAGGACGCGCGGCCGTTCACCGGGGGCGACGGAGATATTTTGAATCTCATACGCAGCTGGTATCATACGGATTCGGTGCCCGAACAGATGCTCCGTCGCAGCTCGTTCAGCACCCGCGTCGTGGACCCCGAGCATCGCGCGGGATTCACATTCGAAGCGCGGAGGGCCCACGGCTGGACATGTGATGCGAGGCCCGCGCATGCAATCGCCCCGCTGAGCATCGCGCCCGCGATGTTCACGACGAAGATCTACCGTCTTTGGAATTCGTGTAGCCCTCAGCAGCGGGACGAATGCAGGCGTTGCTGGGCGCTGACAAACGTGGGGCCATGGCCCCGATTCGGTCAGGATCCGTCGGCCGCGCTCGACGAAGCGTCGCTCGGCGCGCCTTCGTCCGAGAGCAAGACGCTCGGCTGCAAGCGGCCGGCGGCGCTGGCGCCGCGTGCGTCCCGCTCCCCTTCGCCTCTGGTCGGGCGCGCGCTGCGCACTCCGCTTCGTCGCCACCTCCCCCCGGAGGATCAGCCCCGGGCACCTTCTCGCGAAGTTGAATTCGACGAAGCCAGCACGGCTCGCGGTTCGAGCTGGAGACCGACGTTGCCTCGCCCGTCGACTCCGCGCCCGTTCTGGGCGAGGGCGGGGGCCATTGTCGCCCATCGGCCCCCGAGGGCAAGCTGCGGCGATGGCTGGCAAGGGCATGGGCAAAGGCAAGAGCAAGGAAAAGAGCGAGCCAGCGCCGCGCGACGCCGCCGACCTTCCCAAGAAGAAGAATGCCCGCCAGGCTGGGGAGAAGGTCAAGCGCCGGCGCGCCGGCGCGGCCCTCCGCGCAGCTAGCGCCGACGAGCCGCAGCAGCCGGCCTCGCCCAGGTGCAGCGGCGAGCCTGGCATGCCCGGCGAGCAGGTCGCCCACGGCGGTCGCGATCACAGCGGCCCCCGCGGATCGTGACCGCCGCGCCTCGAGGCGATAGTGTCAAAATAGTGCGCGCATTGTTCAAGGTCCATTTCCATCCAGCACCTTCTCTTCCACCTACCAGTTCTAGGCGCTACACCTCCACCTCACCACTCACGTGACTCTGAGGCCGTCATCGCGTCCAAGTGTCAGGACAGGCTTTCAGACGCCACATTTGCGGCCCGAAGCCACCAACATCACAAAATGCGTCACGTGGTAACCCACACCATCATTACTCACGCGCACGAGCTCCTCCAGTGCCCCTCTACGAGCTCTCGCCCCGACGCG